GTACCCTACCCTACTGTTGTTAACCAAAAGTGATATAATGATTTCAAATAAATAATTTTTTGGATCTCGAAGAAAAACAGTATATAGATTTAGAGAGGTTCAATCGACAGAAGATGTACTGACGACTCTTATAAATAAAATTTATATATTTAGATCACAGTACACTCTGGGGTATCTTCGTCGACTTAGCAAAAGCGTTCGACACAGTGAGTTATAAAAAAAATATTACTAACACTAGAAAGAATTGGATTTCGGGTTGTAGCACTTGATTTGATGAAAAGCTATTTAACAAATCGTTAACAGCAAGTAATCAGTTAAACTGTTCATAGGTTTTATTAGGTATTTTTACTATTTCCGACCCAACAACCCATGTAAGTTCTATTACCAGAAATGAATCGAATACAATAATTGATAATATATTTAGCAACACACCTATACATTTATTAAATTGTGATGTCAGTCAGTATCCTCTATCGCATCATAATCGTCAAATTCTTATAGTCGAGGAGGCTATAGAGGAAATACGTAAGAATAAGCAATATATTGTCAAAAGGTTATTAAATGAAGAAAACACTAGGTTAATTTTAAGAATTTTATCAAGTCTGAGACTTGGGATGAAGTTTATACAAAAAGGGACCCAGACGGTAAGTACAATTCTTTTCTGAATATATGTTTACATTATTCTGACATTGCATTTCCTAAACAAAAGAAAATTATCAATGTCAATAATCATAATCGTTGGATACCTCCAGAAATTAAGCAATGGTCACTCCATATTAAGGACATGCCGAAAACAAATCGAAAGCTACCTGGAATATATTTAATAAAAGTATTAATAATAAAAATAGACAAAACCAAAAACAATTAGTTATCAAAGATGAGCTAAATAATAAAATAACCGACCCGGAAACTTTAGTGAAAGTACCTATTTAATGAATATTTCTCTGTTTCGCCAACATAACCTGTTGAAAAAAGAAAAAATGTTATCAATCGAAATTATGCAAATTTGTTCTTGACTCCAACAAACGCTAAAGAAATTATAGACGTTGTTCTCGCAATGCCAAATAAGAAATCAACTGGACTAGATGAGATACCTATTAATAAAATAAAAAAAACCACCGTATATATTGCCGCGCTACTTTCTGACATCATAAATTGTTGTTTTTTAGCAGGAATATTTCCAACAAAATTAAAAATTAATAAAATTGTACCCGTATATAAAAAAGGCGAAAAAGAAAATATTGAAAACTACCGCGGTATAATAATGCCACCGTGTATTTGTAAGATTATTGAGAAAGCTATATATATATATATAGTAGACTGATTTTATTTTTCACTAATCACAATATTATTAAGGATTGCCACTTTGGCACAAACGAATTGTTCAACGGAAATGGCTATATACCATTCTCTGTCCAGAATTATTTCTGCACTTGATTCGAATTTAAAAGTGGCTGGCCTATACTTTAATATGTCAAGAGCCTTTAACACAATTGGTTACTCAATATTGTTAGACAAGCTAGAGTATTACGGTGAACGAGGTACATGCAATAAACTGCTTCATTGATATCTTACAAACAGATCTCAGATTACTGCAATAACAGCTTTTAAGAACAAAGTACTGCGACAAGGCGTACCACAAGGGTTTATATTAGGGCCTCTCTTGTTCATTCTATACATTAACGAGTTGAAAGATTATTTAAATATAGACAATTTTTATCAATATGCTGATGACAATTCCTGCCTGGCAACTGAAGTATCAACAGTCCTTTGTACGAATAAGCTTAACACGAATAAGCGCAACAGAGACAAATATATCAGAATATTGTGATTCAAATGGATTAACTTTAAACGGAAGTAAAACTATATTCTCTCCAACTATTAATCTTGAGTATTCATTGTATATCCATTTAAAAGGTACTTCTATTATACAAACAGACAATGTAAAATTTCTTGGTGTAACGTTATACAGTAAATTAAATTAGGAATCTTATACCAATGCTATGATATCGAGATTAAATTCGTCGTGCTACTTAATACAATTTATGAGAGATCAATTTTCAATAGACTGTTTAAGAATGTTCTATTTACAAAGTATTTTAGATTAAGCAATATAATTCTGGGGTTTCTCTCAATATTGGCAAAAAGTATTTATTGTACAAAAACGTATAGTTAGATGTATGATGAAAGTCTGTCGTGGAGATTCATGTAAACCGGATTTAAAGAATTGTGTATACTTACCGTCTCGTCCCTTTATATATATAAATTGTAAAAAAATCCTAGAGAATTCACAAAAAACAGTGATATAATATATGTGACGATGAGAACGAGACATGGACCTGTAAGAGAATACCAGTTCATCGTCATAGTTTTTATGAAAATGGGCCATATTACAATGCTATTAAAGCCTACAAATACCCTACCTGCAGAATTAGAATCTATAATTCAAATTAATTAGTTTAAAAAATATCTTAAGACATTTAATCGAAAACGCATTTTATTCTTTCAGTGAATTTTTTACATGAATAAAAAAGATTAAAAACAATAAAAATGTTTGTAGTAAATTGCTTACTCTCTTTAACTTATTAGTTTTAGGTTTATTTTAAATGTGTCTCTATTCTGCTGTTTCATAAATCATAACTTTTATTACTATTACACATTTTATAATTTTATAACATTTTACTGTGCTTTTTCCTTGTGTAAATTTCTAATATGTGTGTAATTCTCTAAACTTTGACAATACTAATATCTTTTTTTGTAAGATTTATAGCAATAAATTAAAAAAATAGTTATAGATAATGTCAGTAATATCACTAGAACATTGGACCATGGTGTACCACAAGGAACAGTGCTGGGCTCAATATTATTTAATTTATACATCAATGATCTGTTCTAGATATCTATTTATGTCGAGATCATTAGCTTTGCTGTCGTGTTTTATATGAGCGACAGTTGGCCGATTTTAAAACAAGAATCATTAACCGGCTTTTATCCATAAATTATATCAAAACATTCGTTACGCCTTTCAACTGAAATAAATTTTCATTTCGAGTAACGAGAAGCCACAGTAGGAAGTTATTTACGAGAATTTGAAAATGGCAAATGTGACTATACAAACATCGCTTAAGTAATTATGATCCTTCCACAGACATATCTGTTACACCTGGAAATTCAAAATATTATTTAACGCTCGCAAAAATCTAGATAATCTAGTCATCGCTAAAAGTTTCTATGTATTTCATTTTTTAGTGCGTTGATTTTGAAAAAAGTGGGTTTTGAGCCAACTATTTCAGGATTGATACCACTGCGCCATGGACAAATTGCGTTAACAAAATTACCCAGCGTCCGACGCGACGTAGGTATAGACACTTGGAACAATTTTTGTAAAATAATATGTATTTTTATAATAAAAGATGCAGTATTTAAATAGTATTAAACTTCCTGAGTTATTCTTTTTACTGTGAATATGTGATACTCCATGTGGACGTAAAATCCTATTAAAGTGTTATGTTGGCTTGATTTATTATCAGTAATATTTTCAGAAGAAAAATACTTACATAATCTCGGTAATTGAAAATGGAGGAAGCGCTGTATTTATTGATACACATAAACCCGCTGCAAAAGATTCACCTAGGTATAAAATTAAAGTTTCGTGCAGATATAAGGATGATAAATTATAAAAAGAGTCATCAATCAACTCTTTTAATATTGAAACCTCTTTAAACTTTAAATAGACTTTTTAGATAAATCTTATTAAACTCGATCAAAATTTAACAGGAACAAGAATTAAGTGCTTTACAAAATTATAAATTACCTGTCCTCGAAAAGGACTAGGATTACGACTTTTAATTTTGTTTTAGTTTTGAAGTAGGATTTTGCCTAGTCAAGCATTTTAAATTTATCTGTACTTACATCGACTTTGTGAAGTATCATTTTTTACAGTTTAAAATGTTTTATGCTTCGTTCGGAACTTACTTAGACATTCTATGGAACAGTAATAATAATTATCAGTTATCATTACAATTAAATCGGGAGTTTCTGAGAATTATCTATGTAAATGGACAGTAATAATTGCTGTACATTTATTATTTATTCAGACAATATTTATGTTTGGAAACATTTTGAATTAAACAATGTTTCACATAATGAAAATTATACCAAAAAAGACACAAAGTCGTTTAATTGAAAATTAAATAAAGTAGCCATACATAGTCACTACTATCATACTATGTACTTCTTGATGATTCATAAAGTTGTATCATATGAAGAGAAATGCTTAAACTCTAATTGCGACTGACCATCAGTAAAGGATTTTTACATAGTAAGGATAGACTTCTAGAGGCCGTATACAGGTTTCTGGTTGATGCCTTGATCAGTATGAAGTAATGCGATTGACTAATGCTAGATGGAATTACCTTACAACTCATTAGTACTCTATTATCACATAGACGTACAATAACGAGATTCTTCTTGTCGACGGTGCGTTGCGTGCACCTACTTCATACTGATGAAGGCAACAACCAGAATCCAGTCTAGGAATGGTTATTGGTTAATTTTTAATTAGATAGAGTGAGAGAATTACGCCTTTGTACCTTTTAGGTTACAACTTTCAAAAATTATTACTATTTGTGCCACTGTCAACAGATCGAGGTAATTATTTTTAAATGCATTAGTATGGTTGCATAATTAATTTTTCAAAATTTATCAACCCCATCTTTATGAAAATATTATTGGAATCAAAAACTTACTTCTTCTCAGAAAATACCAAAAGCTACCCGTACTGCAATAAAAAATAATGACCTTGACAGTGACATTAATTTTAAAATGGCGTCAGAATATGCACAAATGTACCTAATTTATATCCCAAAATTTAGCTTTTCTTTAACCTTTACTTTGTATTTCAAAAGGTTCTGTCCATACACTTGCCGCCTATTGTACATAAATTAATGGTATTCGTCAGGAAAAATTCTAATATTTTTATACGAAATAGGGATATAAGTGGCCTCGTGATCAAGTGGTAAGGATACGTGCCTCTCATCCTCGAGTCGCGGAATCAATCCCCGGCCGAGGAGCTAGGATTTTTTCTAAACCAGAATTTAATCCTAGCATACTCAAACATTGGATTGAGTGTGTGTCCACTGCCTTTAAACGTATAGCCCCCTTCCACACAAGGTACCCCGAGGTGCCTTTACGGTTACAGGGTGTTGTATTACTAGTGGTGTTTAAAAATATACGCATAGTATAAAAATAAGACATAATATAATGATATTAGTATTCCAACTCATAATTTTAAATTTTTTTAAGGACAGTATTACTGCATAGAAAGCTTATATAACGCGCTGCTAAAAACTGTAAAAGAAATAGCTGGAATTTATCCAATCAGGAATAAATTTAATATTTTAATTTAATCCACTATTAATTTAATTTTATTTAACTTGATGTCATTGACTTCAGTGTGAAAGGTGTTTCACTGTTCTTTTTGCTATCTATAATAATACTAATAAAAATAAATGTGTTTATTGCAAACAAGTTTACGAACGGAGAAGTACAAAATAGTTACAAAGTAACCCTTTGCTCTTCCACTTGAATCCTTGTTCTCGCCCACTAATATTCTGTTCTTAATATTGATGTTATTTTTCATTAACATGATTACCACTCTCGTTTTTGCATGACTCTTGTTCTCCGTCTATCCGTGTCCTCTTACTAGAACTGTTATCTTGTAACGAAATTGCAAGCTATTTCATTCCAGTTTGTTGTGTTCCGTGAGGAATTAAGTTGCTGCTAGTCTAGTCCAGATGGCGCCACTGATTTCTACTGGAAAAGTCGGTTTTGCAGATTTTTGCACTAAATATCTATCTATCTTTATTGCTCATACTCTACTCTCAAATGTCTGTCTCTTTCCAAACTATAATCGAGTTTAGGTAGCAGAATACTACGATGCTACTTTCTTCTCACTAGGGCAGCCAGAGACAGTGGTTGTCTCTGGTGCCGCGTTCTGATGGAAACCATCTCTAGTTCTGCGGTCTGGTAAGATTGATATGTTATCTGGTATTATCTTGTGATTGTATGCTCATCATTATTTAAAAAGTTGCTATATTGATTTAAAGTACCTTTGAGGTAATTTTCATAATAATATTGTACCGTAATTATCTTAATTTACGCCTTGGGCGAATTTACCTTTCGGTGATCAGTTCACCTTGGAACAGCCATCATTAATATTGATTAGTATCAATTTATCGTGCCTTGTCGGCAATTTATCTAATATCCCTTTGATATTGTAATAATTTCGGGTGTTAATTTAAACTAACTTTCGGTTATTGTAAATTTTAAATTTACTTGGCAACGTATGTCGCCATTTTGTATCGTAGTTAGTTGTTTTCTGTCTTTGTATCTTGATGTTTTAGGTCACTTAGCCTACGTTGGTAGCGCTCTCTAAACAGTGGTGGCTGGTGACATTTGGAGATTGGTACACCTGGGTGGGCCAAACCTATTTGTTTATAACCTGTGAAAATTATCTAATTTGGTGCATTTGTTTTGTGGTGGATTATTTTATACCAGTGCATATATTTATCAACCAGACCTCAGTAACGTAAGGTTTTTCTAAATTTAAAATATGGAATGCTTACTTGAACGTTTTCTTAGTATTGTCATGAACGCTGCTCTAGTGGAGCTTTGCCTAGTTTTCTGGCAAAAATACCTGCCTAGTTATCTGGCACTTGTTTAACTTTTAATTATCTAAAGTAAACATATAGTCAAGTATATATCTTTATTTAACTTTATCTACAATTCATTAGAACCTCTCTCCGAGGAACATGAGTATATATCTTTATTTAACTTTATCTGCAATTCATTAGAACCTCTCTCCGAGGAACCAATAAATGATTTATTTTAACGTTACCTTTAATTTGAAAAACTCATATTGTTTTATATTTAGCAAATATTTATTTACGTTATCTTTCTAGTTGTCTGTCTGTAAACAGACATTCTAAATTCTATTTTCTTGAAGCTTCACTTCTTTTATTACAAAAAATATCTTAACATTTAGTGAATACCTATTTCACTTGTTTATTATCGTAGCTACACCTAGTTTATTTGCTGGACTAGTATTTTTTCTATTTAACTTAACTTTTATTAATACTTAAGTTAGTTGAAGTCTTCAACTTCCTAACCTATTGTAGGATACCGATCCTAGTTTGTTTAGTTTGCAATTTACTCGGTAAATTTGTGTTAACTCATATTTTGTCTACGTAGCTGGACACTTCAAAAGTCACAGCTTTTAATTTTGTTTTGCCTCTAATACTGATCTCATAAAACTCTCCCCTTTTTATGTAAATACCTGGACCAAGAGAAGAGGATAACTGGTGGATCGAACTGATCATTATATACAGGGTGGAGCAGAAAACCGTAATATTACACAACTGGCATTTTTTTCTCAAGGGTAACTGCAGTACTGACAGTGGTTAGTCAAATTGACACCGAACCCATTAAGAGCCTAGCCGTTGGTGAATTCTTCGCTGGACTAACCCCTTTGAAGTTAAGTAAGATCTTCGTCCCCAGTTAAGTTTATTTGGTCAGAAGAAACGTTGTGAGAGATCAGGCATCTCATTTTTCATTTTTTTTTTTTTTTTTTTTTTCTTCATTTTTGGATACTTTTTGGTCTTCAACCACCTTTAATTTTTTATAACTTGTAAATACTTGTACATCACATATACTAGTCTTTATTATACTTTTTATTAAAATAAGATTTTTTTTTATTCCACTTCCTTCCCAACCGAATTCAAGTTTTAACGCTATCTTTACCTTTTAAAGTAAAATTTTAATTAATTGGTACTTGCAAAAGTCCTGGCGCCCAGCCTAGATTTTGGTGATAACTCAAATTAATCTAAGCCCTTATTCACGACCTGCTTACTGAGCTACCGGTCAATAAGTACAACCCCCAGCTTATTGTGTTATGCCAACAATTGGACGGGGGGTGTTGCACTAATTGGCGCCTTTCAACGCGAGGCTTGGCTATTTTTTGGCATTTTTTATCTTGAGTTGTCACTGAAATTTAGTTTCGTACCTGTTCTTGAATTCGGGGAAGTGAATAAAATATTTTTTTTTTGACCAAACAAATCATTTGCTGACTATTAACATTATTATTTTAACTTGATAAAAATTATCTTGAAAATTTTTGAATTTTGAAATTTTTATTTTTCTCAGTTGCTGTTATCTAATTGAGATATTTCTTTATCTATAATTAACTATACCGAGTACTTGTGTAGTACATATTTATCAAAGTTTCATACCAGTAACTGTTTGAAATATTCTTTTCATATTGTACCGTATCTTGACTTGTGTTATATCTTATCTATTTGCATATTTGCTTAAATATTTTTACCTATTACCTCGTATAGTATTTGAGACTGACATTTGGCTTACCTACCTACTTTGCTATAACATTTCTTATCTTATCGCTTGCTATATCTATCTTTCTCTAAATATCTTTTTCAACTTGTAAATCCAAGATGAAAACAAAGGACCTTAAGCCCGATCATACAAATTTAGACTCTGATGACCAAAATTCTCAGCTTTCTAATTCTTCGGATTCTGAATGAAAACAACTACCGACTATCGATATCTTTTTCTTTTATCTGGCTGCATCTCTATCTTTTTCTTTTCCTTAGATGCAGGGTTGTAGGGTGGGATCTATTTACACTCGTTGCATGTGTGTAGCATATGTTGTCGGGCTTCACAGGTCGTGTTATTCACAAATTTGTGCCGGGTTGCTTGATGATATGTGTTGCGCATGTGTGATGTAGTGTTTGAAGTCTTCTAAGATAGCAAAATCTTATCTTATCGTACCTTTTGTCATTTTCATATATAGAATATTACCGTATCTTATCGTTTATCGTTGTATGTAGAACTCACTGTATCGTACCGTATCCAATATATTTTGGATAAAATTTTGAGTGGTTTTACATAATATATTCTATATTAGCCTTAGTGGCTTCAGTTATGATTTTGCTCTTAGAAGATTTCAACTCATTGACATTAACATCGTCATATTTTTCTCTTTTCTTTATCTTATCTTTTCTCTTATTTTTCATGCATACTTACAAGGTTTGATCTGTGTGCACTCATGGCATGTGGGTGGTTGCACCCGAGTGGTGTTTTGTTTGAAATTCCCTAAGAGCACAAAATAGTACAGTAGTGTACCTTTTTGTCTTTTCATTAATAGAATATTATCTTATCGGTCCGTTTATCGTGATCGTTTGTAAAATTCACTGTATCGTACCATGCTCGATACATTTTGAGTAAATTTGGAGTGATTTTTACTTTATATTCTAAATTGCAGCCTTGTGGCTTCAGTTTGATTTGGCTCTTGAAGGATTTCAACAAATAGACATCAACCTTGTTGTATTCTCTTATCTTTTCTTGTCTGTGCTTTTTTCTCGTTTATATCCGTTATTTTATCTTTTATCATGGATTCTCGTGGAGAACATTTATCATTTTATATTTTAGTCCTGGTATTTTCCAGTTTTAGCGATGACAACGGCTATACTGTTGTTAAGGCGGTAAACCAACGTCTTTGGAGGCCCAAGACATGAGGTTCCCCTCCTAAATTTCTTATTAGGTTTCCTTCTTTGTCGATTTGGAATTTTCTTGGAAGATCATTAGGCTTCTGAGTTCATTCTTGCCAGTTGACATGGGCACGGTTCATATACGAGGCATTTCCTGCTACTAGAATTTGCGCAATATGGATCTTGGTTAGGTTTCCTTCCATCTAATAAACCAACCACATGTCAAAGGGTTTGGAGTGTTCTCTGGGGTAGCTCTTGTTCTTTCATGCAGAATACAACGGCATAGATATTTTAGTACTTAGTAGTTACTTAAGTACCTCTTTTCTCTTTGTTTTAGGGACTGGGAGATTAGTAGGGATGGTCTGGTTTTCATCTAGCTGTCTTTAATGACAGGCTGTCTAGGAAGGGTGGCCTTGGCTAGATGTACGTTGCTAGTCTTGTTAGGTTGAGGCCTGCATTACGTCTGCTGGACAGAGTGGCGTACCATCACTGGGGTTCATCTCAGGTCCTTT